TTCTAATATAGTTTAAGTATTACAAATGAATGGAATCATTCATTGAACAAATCTTTTGCATGAATCATTTTAATGAACTGATTGTAATGACTCAATACACTAAAATGAACCAACGTTCCCATCATTAGTTAACAACTATCTACATGTAAGTTCAGAATCTTTTCACAAAAGTCACTTTTTATGATTTGAACTCTTTAATTGTTATTCTGTTATACAGCTGCTGTAACGTTGGTTCTTATTTGTTCCCTTTTCCAACTCTTTCTATTAAATCAGCTTCTTTCTGTTTCTCGGTTCAGAAGACTTTACGTCTTGCTCATCTGAACCGTACATAAAGTGGAAGTCAGTTTTTCTCCTCTCCTCCTGGTGCCCTTCTCCCACACAGACGTGCAAAAGGTTTTTTACACTTCCATAAACATTATGGTACATGCGTATAAGCTGTGCGTCATGGAAGAAGCCGTCCGCTGTGTGTTATGTATATGAATGAACGGCTTTAACACGGAGAGTGGCTCCTCCCCAGGAAACCCATGACTGTACTTTCCAGAAATAGAACATTACTTGCTTGAATTGGAACCACCACATCAGCCGAGCGGGTTTCCAAGAAGGACTGATGGAGACCAGGTTGTACGGCTCTGTGAACAGAGATATTTGGAGCAGAACCTGCTTGTGTGGGTGCACGAAACGTCGTACGTGCAGAAACGATCACACTCGCTTAACTAAAACACTCGAATGCACCTTGACTTGCATCGACAGAGCAACAGAGATTTGTGTAGGCAGTGTGACGTAAGAAATGTGAGTCATTCACACACACACACACACACGCTGAGCTGTCACAATACACCCCACCGTCACTGGGTAACCTCTCTGACAGTTCAGATGGATCACTGCTCGCCCTCCCCTCACAGGATGGAGATAACTAAAAGTCACCAATCTTCTGCACAGTTGTCCCCTCACAATCTCTTTCAGGTTGGTAATTATGTCTAAGGGTGCATTGTTCTTTCTGAGGGATGATGATGTAAAAGCCTGTAGCTATGGCAACGCAAACATGTCATCCAAGACGAGCGACCTGCAACGTGGCCGTGACGCATTTACACAGAGAGCGAAGGGGCGGAAATGTTTGAGGAGACGCTGCTTTTAAATGATGGATGCTTTGAAATGACYAGCCTTCATTGAAGATGTGAACGATTTGCCATGGTGAGAGTTCCTCTTTTGTCCTAAATACGAYGAGCTTAAAAAGACACTTTTAAACCATAAAGGTTTGGGCCTGTTGCAGTACCAATTTCATCCACAAGAGGRTGTTAATGCTGCCTTTACATTGGAAAGTGCACTTAGTTTCCCTCATCTAAGTGGAAAAGGGTGGGACAAACCTGATAATTTGCTGCTGTTTTATTGATTGATTTTAATTTTTCATGAAGAGGTCTTATTTGACTAGAGATATGGTCCATAATTGGCRTTAAAATACAGATTCTTCCACGTTGCTCGGCAGAGGAAACACACAAAGCTATAAAGTTACACAACAGAGAGCCCAGCCAAGGTGCAGTTATGAGGTTTTCTTTTTGTGCAATTAGCAAGGAATATAAGGCATCAACACTTGGTAAAGTTTGAGAATAATTGCCTCTTAAAACTGCTTGCAGATTTTGTTAGCAAACAGCACTGGAGCCTGGGATCTCACACACACACAAACACACACACACACACAAACACACACATGCTCCCCAGATGGGAGACAGATGTTTAATGGAAAAGGTCAAGGAGTCCATTCAGTAATCTTCCTCTCCTCCTCCCAGTTTTCTCTCWGCAGTGTTCAGATCACCGCATCCACTTTAATCCAGGAAATTTCCTCAGGAATGGGAACCACGTCCTTCTCCATTGTTTTCTCACTAACACACACCTACTATGTCTCTCTATCTTTGTGGGGACTTTCCATTGACTTCCATTCATTTTTTTGGAAAATTTGTATCCTGATCCTGATCATTTACCCTAAAATTAACCTCACAGGTACCTGACTCTAAAACTAACCTAAACTCAATCCAAACCTTGGTCCTAAACCTAACCCACCCACCCAAAATCAGCCTCCGAAGTCATGGGGACTGGGCTTTGGTCCCCACAAGAAGCCTTTTCAGAGGCTGCATTTTCCTGAAAAATCATCCCCACCAAGTAGCAAAAACAAGGGCACACACACACATATTGCTCCACATCTCCTGATATTTTCACCTCAGAAAAATGCAAACATGTTATCAACCTAATGACACAGAGTATGTGTTGTGAATGACTCTCAGCTACCAACTCCAATTTCAGATCCATATCTTTAAATTGGACTGAATTAGAGCCATTTTTGTGTTTGATAATGTGACAACCAATTTGCATTCAGGTCAAAYTAATGTATCGACCTTCCTATTCTGTTCTCCCATTTCATCCCCCTTAGAGGAGGTTTCCTGAACACTGAGTGAAGCTGGCGGTGATGAGCGCCACCTCATGAGACTGAGCTCTTTAAGGAGCAGCAGAGAGRTGATGGAACAAAAGGAGAGGGGGAGAAGTTTCTAATCTCATTATCTCCATCTAAACTAATCCACTTCAATCAATACCTCCCGGTCATCCGCACGCTTCCACAGGTGTTTTACTCTACGCATCGTACGCCTAATACATATAAAACTACATTTTGAAAAGATGTCGGACATGAAAGACACTATGCTAATTAGATCAGAGGGAATTAGCAAGACAATTCTACATGGAGGAACTGGAGACATCCCCAAACTCATCACTGGAACAAAGGTGAGCCTCAGATCTTTATGAGCATGCTTGTGATGGCTTTAACTCAGTTTTATTAAACATTCAAGATGCTTTCTTAATAACTTAACCTCATGCTGTCTAAAATAATCAGCTTAGACGAAAAAGGAGTCTTCCAAACTTGTTAGATAATATTCAGGTTCATGTCAGTAAAAAAATAAAAACTCCAAAACCAAACAATAAAGGACAATTTAAAGTGAATCAAATAAAAAAACCTTCTTAAATTGGTTGTTTTAGCTTCAAAGAAAGAAATTTCTGCAAAACAAGACAAAAGCCTTTTTTTTCAATAACAGAATATCCTTTTAAGCAGAGAAGCTGCAGCATTTATTTTGTATCTGAAGTTAGAGTTCTGTTTTTGTTTTACCTTGAAAATGCCTCCCAGCAGACTCTGGATTAGCAGTGTAATWTGCAGTGAGATTATTCCACAGTTTTGCTGAAAAAAATGCCAAGGAAGGGTGCAGTTCCAGTTTACCACCACCAGAGGGAAGCAGTGAACACAAATGAGCAGCATTCTGAGCTTTTGTTTGAAAAGTTTAATCTTTTTTAATTCAGCAGAATAATGTTGATAGTTTTTTTTTTAGCATAGTTGCTTGCTTTATTCAATAAAAATGTTTTTTATAAAACAAGTACAAGTATTTTAAACTTTAAAAACACTTTTTTATTTGTTTTCAAACATGTTTCATTTCTTGGCTGTGACTTGATCCATTTTATGTTTAACACCAAACATCTCTGTCCATTGCTGAACTCCAATTCCCCTCYTGTTTCATTTTATTGGCATTTCTTCCATCACTTACAGTTTGATCTTCTCGTTCCTTCTAAAAAGTCTTTTGTTGCTCATTATGCACTCCTTTAAACTCTTTGCTCTTTGCCCACATTGACGTCTTGTCTCCTTTCCTGCCTCAACCTGGTTGGTCTGCTCTGTGGTCAAAGGTGACGTTCCACTTTCGCACGCAGCTGTGTGATGACGAACGCACGGTGATAGATGACAGCAGAATGGTGGGGACGCCCATGGAGATCGTGATCGGCAACATGTTTAAGCTGGACATCTGGGAGACCTTGCTGGCCTCCATGAGGATCGGCGAAGTGGCTGAGTTTTGGTGTGACACGATTGTGAGTGAGGATATCTTTGCATGTTTGTTTTTGTAGAAAGATTCGGATATGACTTAAAAACCAACAAAATGCATAAGATTATGTGCTTCTGAAACTGATTTTTAACAGACTGTGTATTTTAGGGTTTAAGCCTTTCAAAGCRAATTTCTAGAAAAGCTTATCAACTTCTTAAATTTCTCCAAATTGACATCATTCAGAGACTTCTACAGCAGGTTAGATAGTTATTCCTCAGAACACCATTTCCAAAACATCAGATTTACTCTAAAATAACCATAAAAAATGAAGGGAATGGAAGTTAGTCATGTTTTTTGTCATCATTTACTTTAAAACGTRTTATTTTATTCAAACAATAACTTTTACTAAAATGACACTGATGGTTTTCTAGACAGTTATTTAAAAGCTCTTACATTTTTTACACCGTTCATGTCCTCTCTGTGAGCATATAAACACTCATTGTAGGTCTGTATTCCAGAAACAGGTAGAATGCTCCCTTTGGAGTTGGAAATAACGTCAATGTCAAATTCTCTATATAGAAAATAAAAACAAGTTGACCAAAGTGCTTCACAATTCAGCCAAATGAATGGATGAAACCACAACAAAAAGCACAGAAAAGTTCAAAAGTAAGTAAAATTAATATGAATGGACTTGCAACCGACAATTAGCCATTTAGTTGCAATAAAGATTGCAACTTAGGGGCAAAGAAAGTAACAATGTAAGTATTGGGAGTGCTTTTATTTTGAAATGCTACATCAGAAGTTGCTCAAAATTGTTGTGGAGCATCTGGAGGACTTCTAGTCAGACTGAAGTAAGAGCAGTCACTAACAACTAGCCATTTAAACAAGTTATTAAACTTATCGTTCAGCCATTTTTAGACATACAAAGCTGAAGATTAGTGTAGGAGTAGCTGAAAACCATCTATCAAATACTAAATGTAAATTCAAGATGGCTCCACAGCTACTTTAAAAGGCTGTAATTCAGCCATTATAAGATTTATTGAGATTAAATGTGTTGTGGAGTAGCTAAGAACGATCACGTGCCAACTGCCAATGCTAATCCCAAATTAAACTGACTACTAATGCTAATGCTAATTTTAMAAAGGMGTATAATTTAGCCATTTTAAAACACAACAGTAGAAAATTTATACAGTACAGTAGAATCAGAGAACACTATTAAAAAAAGCTACATGCAAATTAAAAAATTCAAGGTCCCCACCCACTTTTCTGTTGTTTGGGGGTGGCACCTGGGGTGGCCAATCAGGTACCAGAGGTGGCATCTTGCCATCCTGGCCATGTCTCTAGCTCCGCCCCTGGATCAGGAGGAGCTCAGAGTAGAGCTGCTGCTCCTCTGCATCGAAAGTGGTCAGTTGAGGTTCAGGCATCTTTTGGAAGTTTTCCAAACGATGCCTGATATTCAGGCTAAATTAAAACTGCGTGTAAAACTAATAACATCAACAATTTTTGTTCATTTCAAAACAAACTCTAGCTTGCTGGCTGCTCAGTTTGTCCAAAACAAAGCAAAAGCAAAATAAAGCTGAWAACAACTGTAAGTTAAAGAYGAGATTTGTTTKTATCTTTCCCTGCACAATTWAAAAAAAAAAYGAGTATCTTTTTCACCCTCCCCAGCACACAGGCGTTTATCCGCTCGTGTCCAAGAGCATGCGGCGCATCGCGGAGGGCAAGGACCCAGTGGAGTGGCAGGTTCACACGTGTGGCATGGCCAACATGTTTGCGTACCACAGCCTTGGCTACGATGACTTGGACGAGCTGATGAARGAACCAAAGCCGCTCTACTTCGTCTTGGACCTGCTCAAAGTGAGAGGGAATTAAAATTCATCTAGTTTCTAATGTCGTGACCTKTAGGCGTCTGAAAGACTAATTCCGAACACGTGGCACCCAGGTGCAGCAGCCCAGCGAGTACAACCGTGAGTCCTGGGCTCTGAACGACGAGGAGAGGCTGAAGGTGGTTCCTGTGCTGCACGGCCAAGGAAACAAACTTTTCAAACAGGGCCGCTACCAAGAGGCCACGCAGAAATACAAGGAAGCCCTCATCTGCATCAAGAACGTTCAGACGAAGGTCCTCAAGTTTAATAAATGGTTAAAGGTGGATGTTTTATTTAGCTGCTTTTAAACAGAACGTCTTGTGGAGAYGTGGATGTTGTGTTTCCTCTGCAGGAGAAAGCGTGGGACGTCCCGTGGCTGAAGCTGGAGAAGATGGCCAACACTTTAACCCTTAACTACTGCCAGTGTCTCCTGCGCATGGAGGAATACTACGAGGTCATCGAGCACACAACGGACATCATCAACCAGCACCCGGGTTTGTCAAGAATTTCAAATATTTTTGTAAAAATAAGTGTGTTTTTCATGTCCGCTGCCAGACGAGGGCTCCGTGCGTTTGTGTCCCAGGTGTGGTGAAGGCGTACTACCTCAGAGGGAAGGCCCACAAGGAGGTGTGGAACGAGGCCGAGGCCCGGCAAGATTTCACCAAGGTTCTGGACCTGGACCCCAGCATGAAGAAGGCGGTCAAGAAGGAGCTGGCGGTGCTCAGCATGCGCATGGAAGAGAAGAACCAGGAGGACAAGAACAAGTATAAAGGCATGTTTTAACCCTGAGAACAGGGAGGAGTCATAGCATCTCAATGATCTGTAGGACATGTGAGAACAAATCAAATAACCATTCCAATCCATAACATCCAGAAATGCCTCCTTTTCTGAGGGGTTTTGTTTGTCATGCTCAAAACATTTGTCAAACCATTTTAAAATGACACTTACCACCTTCCACACCACGTTACTCAATACCTTAAATGTCAAACTGACTGAGTTAGAGCCATTTTTGTGTTGGCTAATATAGATTAGCTGTGGAAGACATCTTGAATTGGATTACCTTCAAAAGGCAATCATGGTGAATTTAATGATTATGCTCTGAAACTTGTTTTACTTGTATGTTCATGAGATATTTTGCTAACAGACAGGCACATGTGTGCACACACCGACACAAACAGGGCAAAAAACATTGTCTACCCTCACTCCTTTTTTATGTTGTTGAAAATAAAATGACTTACAAATGTTTCCAAGTCACCTTGTTGAAAGTAGTGTTGTTGTACTGTAGTAAAAAATTTATTAAATTCATCTACTGGGTGATTTCTGTGGCTTGGTTGTGTCAAACATGTCATTTATCTTCTTGTCATAAAGACAATTAAAAGAAACAACAAAAAAACAGCCATTAGTCCTTTCTCTGTCTTGCTATTACATATGTTCTCCACCAGGAGGCGAACTTTCTCCGATTTTACCTTTATCGCCGTTTTGACTGTCAGCGAGGTTCACGTCCTCAGAAAAGGCTCATTTCAAAAAACTTCTCTTGTTGTCTTTTGTTTTATATATATA